TCCTGTTGGGAAAAAAAAAAATGCTGACTGTGGAATGAATATTTTACTAAAAAACGGTTTGCATAAAATTTTGGAAGATATGAAATTTGAATTTGAGTTTTAATCATCATCACAACACAAAAAAAAACAAGAGAATTCAATCAAATTTTTGCTCAAGAAACAGGTTATGCAAAATATACCGAAAAAACAAAAAGACTAGAAAGGTTGATCAAATTAAGGTATATTTTTCCATCGAAAATTATATCTTCCTGTTTTCTTTATTTTATTTTAACGTTCATTGAAACGTAAGTGAAATAATAATATTTATTAATGGTATATGTATCTTTTTTTATTAATGGTATATCTATCGTTTTTTTGGTATATTGAAGGTATATGTTTTTTATATTTCTTAAATGGAGCCGCCAATTATGATTGTAATTCACTACGTTGATGAATGGACTATGTACATAAACCATAGATTTAAAAAAAAAAAAACAGTTTATGCTTGTTTAAAATCAATTTTTTAATATTTTTTTAGTATATGTTGCTTTTGCGTAGTGTTTATTTTATTTTATGCTTTGTAAATAGTTTTATCAAAAAATAAACCATACATATACACAACAAATTTTATAAAAAAAGTATAAAGTGTACATAGATTTTATAAACATATTATAACAAATTACTTATTGCAAAAAATAATAAATAAATAAATAAATCAAAAGAAATGCATACTATAAACAATGAAATATTCAGATTAGTATAGATAAACTTTGTAAAACATCATGATCAATAAATTATGAATAAATATCAAATAAACATTGAAACAAATCTTATCAGATGTGTCCGTAAAAATCTTCTAATATACAAAACATAAAATATCTATAAACTGAAAATATAATGTCTATATACTCAACATATGCGTCTCGTCTGAGCACGTACATCAATAGATTAGAGGAGTTGAGCAGCTGGGAGACCTGTTGAGTTAGCTTGCTGGAGAGTGTCTTTAGAAGGGTTTAGATTATGAGGGCTTTGCCGTCGATGGAAGTGTTCGCCGGCTGGTTTCCA